CCTTTTATTTGGCAACACAGAAAGAAGAATTGTACGTAGTGAGGGTTATAATGCCTAAGCGCGGCCGAAGGCCGCCTACGCAAAAAGGTGTTCTCTGCAAAAGGTGTTCAGCACCTTTTATTTGGCAATACAGAAAAAAGAATTTTACGTAGTGAGGGTTATAATCCCGAAGCGCGGCCGAAGGCCGCCTACGCAGAAAGGAATTATACGCAAAAATACTGTGGATAGCGTAGCTTGATTAATTATCCATTTAATTCTACAACTCAATCTTATAACAAATAAGGTGATTAAAAAAAATGGTTTGTATTAGGGCTGTGCGATTAATTGATTACTCAAAATTTTAATTAATCATAAAGTAAATAACTCAATTATTCGATTAATTGGAAATTATGATTACTCAAAAGTTCAGTTACTCGAGTAATCAAGATTTTTGATTGACCAAAAAAAAATATTTGAGTAATTTGCTTTATGATTAATCAACATTTCGAGTAAAATGAGTAATCAACATTTCAACTCTTTTCATATGTGTAAAGTAGTTAAAGTTCCTTGATACTTTGAAAACGTTTCTGTTTTCAAAAATTAAAACGAAAAATTTTTTTCATATACAGAATGTAAAAAAGAAAATAAGCATTTTCCAAAGCAAACTCTTTTAACGAGCAAAATTATTTTTTTTGAGTAATCATATTTCAAGTAACTCGATTAATCATCGTTTTGAGTAATCAAAATCTTGATTACTCGAGTAATTGATTAACCGAATAATTGATTAACCAACTTGCTCGAGTAATCGAATAATCGCACAGCCCCAGTTTGTATATATTTCTTTAGTATTTTTTTAATTTTAATTAAATTTTTGTAAAAGCTAAAAAGAATAAGATTTTCTATCGCGCGGTTTTTATTCCAAATTTTGGCCTGTGGCGCTCTTCCTTTTTCATATAAAACTATATTTTTTATATATATTTAGTCAAATATGATGTCCACAAGAATTTTTGCTACAAGTCATATATCAAATTAACGGAATTTTTGTGCTCTTTCTGATAAATTAGTTACATAGTTAATTACGTATTTTTTAAAGAAAAACATACATTTAAAAAAAAATTGCCATAATTTCGTTGTTTACCTTTTCTCGCAACGTGTATACATTATATACATAGACATATATATCGAATGAAAGGCCCTTCAATCACCTTTCCAACTGTGTCCATATTTAGAAAATCGGTTCAATAGTTTTCGAAATATAAGCTTTTGAAAATGTTGAAAATTCCACGTTTAGCCGCCCTTGTAAATTTGCACCAAAAAAAAAAAAATGCCGTCAAAATCCGGAACAGGGGGCGGGCCACGCCCACTTTTTTTTCTCTAACTCAAAGGTCAGTATTCTTTAGGTGTTCCGAACTTTTTATTAAACAAGTAATTTTTAAGCAAAAAACACAACCGACTTCAATTCTCATATACAAATTTAGGAGTTCCGTTAATTTTTGCATGATCCAATGATCGGATCTAAACCATATTACGGGATGAATCTTAAGGTACCATCTTTTCGATAAAAAAATAAAATAATTATTGAAATCGGTTCACGTGGTCCAAAGTTATGCGGTAGCATACATAAAAAAAGAAGAAATATTCCGACGAATTGATAACTTCCCCCTTTTTTTGAAGTAGTTTAAATTTAATTTTATGTAAATAAAATAAAGTGCATTTTATGAAACTTTAAAAAGTTTGTTTATTTCTTACATACTGTACATAAAAATTGCATAAATGTATTTAAAGAGCATATTATTGAAGCGAATTTTCAGTATTTTCTGGTGATATGTTTTTAGAATTATAATGCCCCCTCCCCTCCCCCAATATATTCTAAACCATTTTGCCAAAGAAACAAAAAATAAAGGTCACACGAATTAAACAAAAGTTCACCTTGTAGAGCATTATGACAAAAAGTACCTTTGTATATGAACTTCACATGTGCATACTTATGTGCATATATACATATATATATATATATATATGATTGTATTTATGTACATACATATATTTTGAGTTAATAACACACAACCCCTTACATGTTTATTCATATGTAAGTATGTATAGTGAATTTTTGCGACTTTTCAGATCTACTATGGCATTATTCATGCCAAAGGCTTGCCCATAGTGGCTTAAAATTTTATCAGCGGCAAATAATGACTAAGTTTCCACAACCACGTTTTATAAACAATTCAGACATGGAACAATTTTTTTTTTTTTATCTTATCTTATGGGAATTTTATTTTATTAAGCAGTTACGTTAGTACATATACAAACACACTTTTGTGAAGCGTAAGCAAGTAAGTGTGCAAAATTTAAAACAATAGTTGAATTATTATAATATTTTAGAGTCTCGCATTCATATTGAATGATGAATAACAGGCCTTTTGATTGTATGTATTCCACAAGCAATTTCCGCCCACACACACAACCGTAACTAATAAATTTCGTGCCAGCTAAAAATTTACGCTCCAATACGAGTAGAATATCTAAGCTATTTAAGATTAGTATTTTGCTAGAAATTGCATCGCAATATTTTGTTTTTTTCATTCGCCGAATTTTTATTTTAAGTTTATTGGAATTCAGCACGTAAACAAAAACTTTGAGCCAAATTCAGACAAAGTCAGCAGTTGCATGTCAAATAAAGTGAAATCTGCAAAGAGAACCAAAGCAGACGTCGTCGTCACGTGACATGTATGCACATAGCACATATGCACGTACTATATAACCAGGCGACGAATGATGAGTACCTTGGCAAATGATGGTGTTTTCAATGATGTTGGCAGAGTGCTCGCTACCACGAGGTGCTCTGGGGTAAAGCATGGCATTTTTAACAGTAAGTTTTATGTACACATGTATGTACATACTTACAATGCACACTGTAGAAAGTGGCACACGAATCACTACAACTTGCCGCACTGAACTTTGCGAGTTCAATCTGAAAGGCCTCAATCTCGGCAAAAACGTGCTTAATTAATCTACACAAGTATTATGCCCATATACATACATATATGCACGCTTGGAGCATTTACATATGTGCTTACATAAATATGTTTCTACATTAGCATAAAATCGAATATGCCTGCTTGAATTTTTAAACTTTACTTACTCTTGGCTTACACGGTTAAACAAAAACAACTTAAAAGACCTAAGCAGCGTTAAAAAGTGAAATTACAACCGAAATTCACCGCCCGTCCAAAGTTTAGCGTTAATCGCACTGGTCACCAGTAGTTTGCTTTTAAGTCAAGTTGAAGTTTTTATTTAGCCACGCTATGTTATAAATCGCAAGTAATTAACAACAACAACAACTCTATGCAAGACTATAGCAATATACAGCTATGGTCAATTATTTAGCACCATGATGTTTTTTTGCAACTTAGGTTTATTTATTTACTTCTAACAATTTTCATTTAAAATTCAATCTACCTACAACAGTTCCATATAAAAACAGATTTTGAGCATGCGTTATATGGAAAAAGAGCGCAACACCCTCCACAAAACTATTGTGAACTTTGTTTAAGCTTTGATACTGTTATACCTAGATTGAATTATATTTTAAATGAACATAATTAAAACTAAATAAATAAACATAAATTGCAAACAATATCATTTTGAATTTTGGTGCTAAATCTCTGGCCATTGCTGTATGTAAGCACCATAATTATAAGCGCCGGCATTAGCTAACGCTAACATATGTATGTACATATTTCTATTCAGATTCATACTCCGCCAACGTCGATCTTTTGCCCGTAATTTCCATTTGGAATGCTTTTTAATGTGATTTGCAGAGCGCGTTCAAATTCACAACTTTTTTGCTTAACTTTGATATATGTTGGTATGTACCTTGCGCTGGGAGTTGTTATTATTAAACTTTGAAACTTAATTTTGTGCTCGTTTTCTGACTGTGCTGTGACGATTTTTAGAAAACCTGTTTTCTGCTATCCAAGCTGTAGATACATATATCGATGAGGTGCTGCATAATATATGTGTTTATGAACAAAGAAAGTGGCGCCTCACAATTCCATCCACAAATTGCTTTGATGGCAACGATGACAGCGAGCGATGTCAATATCGCGTTAACATAAAGCTACCAACAGTGGAATCAACAGTGGGAGCTGCAGTCGTTGGCAAACAGTTAAGATTTCTTTTTTTTCTGCTTTTGCATAATGTTCGTTGGAATTTTTCACATAAAAACTGGACTAGAATAACTGTTTGATCGTAATTGTGTCATTGCAGTAATGCACGTACATACCTACAGGGTGGGTATCTATTAGTTTTACACAGTTAAAATAAATGACGCCAATCGAAGTTTGTTTAGCGTGGAGCTTACAAATGCTGATACCTTGACTACATCGGGGGCTGTTTCTGAAATTTTACCAAAATTTTCGCAGCATTTACATACGTGAAAGTGTAGATTTCGTAAAGTTAACTTGTTATTCGAAAATGTAATAGAAACATTTCTTTCAATTACTCACCTGTCACTTGTATATGCGTTGGACTCCACATCGTGTAACTTCCAATTGTACGCTTATTCCAACTATCTTTTTCACGATCTTGTTTGATGGAGCGAAATGTGTATGCAATTGATGCCTTTCTAAAAACACTTTTAAATTTTTAAGTATTATATATGCAGCTTTGTTAATTTGTGTAATGCGCTACTTTTGCTTTTATTATTTGGGTTTTCCCTTTATTTTGCAAGCTTTTTCACCATCATAACACTTCACACTCTCGCGTTTTACAATCGCCTTTGCTACGAAAAAGGCTCTTCTATGAGGTTAAATATTTAATCATGTATTTTTTTTTGTTATCATACCATGTACATACGAAATATAATTATAAACAATTAATAAAACCGACCAGTTCCCAACAATTCCAATGCACCTCAAAAACGCGAGCGCCGCACGAACAACAACCAAACGGGTCTAATTGTAAAAAGCGAGTGACAGCTGTTGGCCGAAAAATTTGAACGATTGAAAGCAACGAGTAAACAGGGTTGCAGAGCAACGAAAGAATTATTTTGTTTTTTAGATTATGAACATGGAATATTTCGTATCATGATATCAAAGGACGAAACTCTAAAGATAACACACTACATTTAAAAGTAAGTTATTTGCAAATAAAAATAGTTTGTAAATACCTAACTCACTACGTTCTTTGGTAATACTTGGATATTAATAATTCAAAATTTGCTGCATTTAAACTATAAAAGTATTCTGAATTAATTCATACGAAGATTATGAACATGATTCATTAATAAATTAATTATTATTTTTAATTATTGAAACATGGATTATGAAGTGCTCTTAATTTTGAGAAGTGAATTTGTTTTATCTATTATCATCGACCGTTTACGTCATCGCTACATACCCTGAAGTAGAACTTGCCAATGTGGATATGTGATATCTTACCGGCCGTCTTAGAGTGCTGGCAAATCTTGCTAGCGTCACGGACGATGCATGCGAGATGCCGCACGTGTAGACCGCAAAAAGTACGTAGCATACTTTTTTTCGCTTACCGAGCGTTTTGCGAGATCTCGCATACTTTCCACTATCATTTCTGTTGTTTCACAGGTATTTTCTCATTTCGCAGAATTCTTCAGAGTAGAAACATCGTTTATTTTGGTGTAAATTAGAAATTTAGCCTGAAAAGCTAGACCTTTTTTTGCGACATTTTACAAATGGAAAAGTATGCTGTCAAATGCCCATTCAACAAAACTCGTATCTCGCTAGCTAGAAAAAAAAGCAGAACGCAGCGATAATTTTAAGCATGTGAAGACGGCCGGTTAAATCTATGACTTTGCGACATCTATCGAGTAAATGGATACTCAAAAACAAAGTAATAAAATTCAGCTGTCAATTTTGTTTGTTTTGATCACTGTTATTAAAATTTTTACGTGTTCTATTGCTTCTGGTGGACGAAAATTCTAAATAGTTTGGGAATTTTATCTTCATTTAAACAGAGGAAAATTGCTGCAAAGTAATTGCATTTCTATTCCGTGCATTGAGCTCCAATCAGTCGAAATGGTGTGCGTGCCTTGCTTCATCATTCCCGTACTGCTCTACATTTGGCACAGATTTTTCCAGCCCATTGTGATACCAATTATACAACGTTACTGGAATCCTTGGGAGAAAAAAGACGCTCAAGGCAATGTTATTAAAAATGCACCTGAATTTCCATTTGAATGCAAAGGTGGAAGCTGCCCCTACACAGGACCTAAAAACAAAACTGTTGCCAACGGTGGAAGTGAAAAATCAGCTGCTGTCAATGACCCTGATGGAAGCACTGAAGTGGTTACTGCAGCGGATACAAAGAAAGACAATTGAAGCTGATTTTAAATAAATATCATTATAGCATAAGTATAGTGAAATTTGTACATACAAAGCGGTGACTGCTTATTTATAGGAGCTAATCGTTGCCGCAGCTATCGTATGAAATTCATAAACTTCGAGTTAGGTATAAGAAAACTGAAAACTTTTAGCTAGCCATGGGATGAGTGCAAAGGTGGATGATAGCGCAAATTAAACGCTTCTATATATGTATTTTTAAGAGTTTCAAATTCTGAAACTGTTTCAAAGATAGTTTAAAACAATGTAGCTGGACAGTAACAATTTTTGGTTATAAATAAAGATAGTGGCATAAAAAACGTTTTTTTGTCATTTACACTTGTATGTACATATATTATATTACTTATTAAGTATTTACATTTGCAAAATGAGTTGATTTTTTCGCATTTTATTAAGACTGGTAACTTGCATGTATGGAGAATAAGGTGAAGTCAATTAACAAAAAATTAGTTTAATTGCTTTTTGTGTCTTCAATCACGTGAGCATATTTAATTCCAGCGCCTGTTAGTATGCAAGCACACTGTTCACTTAGGGTCAAAACATAGTGGAGCGGCGAGCAAAGCGAAGAGCTAGCATCGAGCAAAGCTTCAATTACAAATGTGTATGTACGCTTTGCTCTTCACTATGCGCTTTCCCATTGAAACATATCGCACCCTAAATAAAAAACCGGCACAACTCAAAATTTGTCAAAATTAATTTTTTTCCATAAAACAGTTCACAGACCGTATACCCAACGTCCGCTAAAATTTCTTCTTCATCACTATCTTCTTTAACTGGAAAAATACTACTAAATCTTTTTAGTTTTGCTTGCGTCGATTGCGCAGCGTCAGCAGTTTTTTGCCTCTCCTGAACATTTAGGATTTTTTGAGTTGTGCCGGTTTTTGATTTAGTGTGCGATATGCGTTTGAAATCGACGCTTTGCTCGATGCTCTTTGCTCGCCGCTCCACTATGTTCTTACCCTTAGAATGCAAGTAATACGCTGCCGGAAATGATATTAATTTAAAAGGAGGGTAAAACTTATGTAGCGCAGAAACATTTGTTCAACAACAATTTCATTGGGAAATAAGCCAATATACTTTATTATAAAATACTTTAATATCATAAAAATTTATTGAACATTTTTTTTTTTAATAAAGTCTAAAGATTGTGTAAAAAAGTAAACAAAAAATAAAGAAAAATTAACTAAAATTGAAAATCCGCTGACCGACTCGAACTCGGATTCCTCGAGTGGCACTCTAGTGCATTGCCCACTCATTACTGTTAGAACAGCGCGAGCAAAATGCATATTGTATTTACGATCACACTATACTAGGTCCCAAAAAATTTTGCACTGATGGCAATAATAGAAACTCGTTTTCTTTACCAGTATTGGCTATATTTCTTTTTTATTTAATAATTAATATTCTTTATAAATGTCTAGCTGAATATACATATAACCACGTTCGATAGTAAATTTTACACACAAAAATCAATATATTCGCGAAACCAGTTAGTTTTTCACTCTGACGTCAGTAATTCAAAAATTAAAATTCAGTGAAACGTGCTTAGAGAAAAAGTAAGGGTATGACATTAAAGAGGACATTCTGTAGAATTTAAACAGATTAAATTTTTTTGGTAAATAATGACTGGTATGTATTGAAAATGTCCTTTTAAAATTTTATCCGTGAAATTTCGCAATATTGCTTTTGAAAAAATTATATGCTAAGGACTTGTATAAACTCGATAGCATCCTCGAATTTCGTCCTTCTAACTTTATCAGCTTAAAAAGTTGCCTATTCGTCTTTGTGAATCCAAAAAAAAATTAACTATTTTAAATTCTAAAAAAATTTACTTTTTAATTTTGAGTCACTTTTTTTGTATTCTACATTACATTGAGTTTTTTTAATAATTCTTGGAACTAATCACATCTTTGAAATTACAAAGTCCTTTAAAATATACCCTGACGTCAGAGAGAAAAATTAAAACGCCTCTTTAAATAAAAAAGTAGGTTTCAAACCGATTTATTTATTATTTATTTTATGGTAGGAGGGCTTCTCAAACAATATAGACGCAATTTTTTCGATTTAAGTTGTTGAAAAGTAACGAATATCTAAATCCCGGGACTAATTCCGGGATCCCGGGATTGTAATAACGACATCTCGAAAATCCCGGGATGGCAAAAAGCGAAAAAATTAACACCCCAAAACTATACATACAGTAATCGGGGCTATTGATGAATCCATCGTTGTTGTTGTTATAACAGCATACATGCTGGAGTGACAGTCCTTGACCAGATATACTTACATATGTACATATGGTACAGGGCAATAATAAACCTTCCCAAAAAGAGGGTAAGGATAATAAACGGGTTTTCTGACGGTTCAATGCAGACTACGTGGTCACCTGCACAAGCTAGAGATCTGGTCGAACGACTAATGTCGTTTCTGCGATGTGACTGAGGAGACTCCATTGCACCTGCTTCGTGAATGCGAGGGGGTTGCGAGAAGACGGCAGAGGTACCAACATAGGCCTGTACTGTACTGTAAGTGGTTGAGGGCACAATAGATCTCTTGGTCGCCCTGCATACCTCTATTTCAATTTATATATGTATTTATCTATCTATCTACGTAGACTCGACTGTCGTGGGAACGAGGACTATACTATGAATATGAGTTTAAGCCTTTCAAAGATTTTAGTGAAATGGAAATGTTTTTCATTTCAATGGCTCCCTAAATACAATTTTCACTACGCTCGATGAACGAAATATGCATTCAAACAACATTAAAATTTAATTTATAAAAATATGTAATGTTTTATTGATGTATTTTTAAAGATTTTCGCTTAATTACTTAATACATTACGGCTATTGCTACGAAAAACTTAAAAGGTATTTTTGCAAAGTGTTATTTTACATGATTTTATGTATATTAAATTCATTAGCTTTTAAAACATAAAACAAAATAAAAGGATGCCACGAAAGGAAACAAAGTTGAAAAAATTAAAAACTGTAAACAGAGACACGGTTAACAAAAAAAAAATTAATTAATTAATCATTATGAACAAAAAATTTAGACATTTATAAAAAAGAAAAGATTTTTTCATTAAAATATTTTTTTTTCTGGAAATCAGTAAATCAGCTAATGCGAAAGAATTGCAAAAACTGATAATAACTAAATTAAAGCTTTTTTCGCAAAGTTTTGCGGCAACAAGAGTCAGGTCAAGTAACATAAAATTAAAAATATATTCTTTTTATTTCGCATTAAATATAGTTGGTGCTACAGTCGTGGCGCTAAAAATGCAAAACAATTGGTTTACATTCGAACAGCACTTCTGACAGTATTTTATGTGTGTATGTATGTATATAAAAAAAAATTAACTACTATTTAATTGCTAAACGAGCACATTGATTAAATTTAAATAATATTATGTCTTTTATGCTTGTTGTCTTTTGTAGCGAATTTTATTTGCAGAAGTTTTTCCCATTAAAAAATAAGAAAAATTTTTTATTGAATAATCTTAAAAAAACTTAATCAAAGTGAATTTATCGCAACTTACTACAGTTTACAGCTACAAACTTCATAAATATCTCGTAAAAATACAAAAATTTAATTCCATAAAAAATCAACTAGAATCTAAGTAAATTTTTTCTTTCAATTACAGTATTGTAATTAATATTTGCTAAAGTTATATTTGAAATTAATTACTTTTTTTAATATACAATTGAAATTCTTTTAAATTTTTTTCATAAATATTTATGATGTGCTGTTTTTAACTAATCAAAAAAGTTTATCTTTTTTAGGTAACTTACGACTAAACTTAACAGTTATGCTTAAGTCATAGACATGAGATACTTTTTACAGTTACTTGCTAGCGATTTGCATACATTAAAAGCACTTTTCGGGTAGCGAAATTAATTTTATTTATATTTCTTACATTTTTTTACCTAACTTCTTTTTTAATTACTTAATATTCATTTACTTTCGCGCTAGTTGTAAAAATAAAAAATATTAACTAATTTGTTTTCAACAACAAATTTGCAATACCTAACATTACTGGAAGAGTTTTCAGCGCACTTAAGGCTAATGTTTCGAATACTTGCTACGCGTTGGTAAAAAGTCATTTTTCATAACACAATTAAACGTATTTAAATTGAGTGAAGCACGCAATTAAGTTGTTTAATATTTTGTTTTATTTTTACACTCAAAAAAATTTACTTTAAATAAGCCTAGTATGTCTTCAGTTTGTTGCATGCCCTTCTGTTCTCATCGATTTCGCTTTCCAATTGCTTGCTAAACTACATAATTTAATCCTTCATAAATTTCAATAAGTATGCAATTTTAAACAACTGAAAATTTTATAATAATATCAATAACAATTAATTAAGCATTCAGTAAATGATAATCGTTTGGCTGAGGTACATAGATTTTGTTTGTCGAAGAAACTTTCATTTCAGTAGCTTTTGCGATATGGTTTTCCGAATGCCTTATCACAATTCAAAATTCTTTATAGTATGTTTTCACGAGCCCCTAATTGCGCTGCTGAAATTGCCATACGGGTTTTAATTAATTTATTGCTCTTATTGTGAACGCTTTGTAAGCCAGAAGGAGAAATAATACCAAATAATAAACAACAAAATACATAATTGCTAAAAACAATAGATTTTATTTTCCATAAAACAATTTAAAGCATTAATTGAAACAAAGCTCAAGCTTACTGCTCGACCGTACATTACATCAGCCAAGAAGTGGTCCGTTTTTGGACTGAAAGAAGTCATCACAGCCGACGACTGAAACTTCGGCAACAGGGTTTCTTTGTTTTTGTTGTTGTTACCAGTTGATTTTTGTATGGTGTTTACACGCTGCGTCAATTTTTTTCACTGTTTCAACTACTTCCATGTTTAAATCGGAATCAATGTTGTAATCGTGTTAGCAGTTTCAATTTGAATTGGAATCGGCATAGCGAAATTTGACTCTAGTGGAAGCGTACTATTATGCTTTGAGTAAACTATTGCACACTTTGAATTAGCAAAATTTTTTGGGATTTTTTTTTAGTTAATTCGATGCCAGTGGAAATTCGACATTATAATTCGTGGTATGCCCAGTGGAAATACGGCATTAAATAATAAAAATTTGTAAAACTGTGAAGTTAAAACTTGAAATTTATTTCACCCGTGAAGACTTTCAAAATACCTTTCGCATCCATTTTTATGGTTTTCCTGATTACCAACTGACTCGGAGGCAAGTTGCTAATAGTGTTAAGCGGCCAGGGCTCGAATCGTAACATCCGTTCACGGATCGAAAACGTGATACGTCAGTCGTATAAGCTGAATGGAATAAAGAGTACGTTCACGGATGTCATAATCCGAAAAATGTATTTTTACGTGACGAGTAATACGATGTCGTATGTGAAGATTCGAGCCCAGCTTGCTCGCACGATGCCTATGATGCAATACTGCTGCAACACTGCAAGGTAAACAATTTTTCTAGACACTTTATTGGAAATTTTCAATCGCATCGATGTCCATGGCCGACAATGGTCATAATTAGGTTACATAAGTCGTTCAAGGGTTAATATTGTCTGATAACCACTCCATAAATAAGCAACTTATAATTTTTAGAGGTACATATATTTACCAAGTACAATGTATCTACATCCACGAAAATTTAAAAATTTTAAACAAATTTTTAGGGGACACTACCAGAGTTTGAAAAAAAATTGAATTAAAAAGAAAATCGCAAGATTTCGACAAAATTATTATGACTGGAAATCTGATAAACTTGACATATTATCGAAACTTATTCATATAATTTCTTAAACACGCTGAGTTATAGCTGGTCAAAGTCAAAATTTTGTCGAATTTTCTCAATTAAAAAAATATATTATTTTTTAACCCTGTAGCGACCACAATGTTTTTTTATTTTAATTATCAAATTTTCGTGGATGTCTTTATTTTGTACGTAAAACCCCATGTTGTGCATATTTTAATGACCACCCTAATATACATATTTTTTAAAGACATTTTCGTTATAATTTATGAAAAAATGCTTTTGTAGCTGGACAGCGTACTGTGTATCCATTGAAGTCTGGAGATATAATTTATGGATTAATTTAAAATTCATTATGCCTTAAAAAAATATCAGTTGCCGCACCTCCAATAGGCATTGAAATGGAAAAAATAGCAATGTAATAAACTCCGTGCGAAAAAGAGCTTTGCTACTATTTTTATGAACGCAAAGGCACAGATATTTTTAAGGCTAAACATATGGGCCATTCCATGCTAAATTTACACCTCAATATTTTTTATGGTGTGAAATATATGCATTAGAGTGTGAGATAGATTTAAATAAATAACATTTTGCATTAAAAAATTACATTCTGCATTTAGGCAGGCATGCGCTGCCAGTGCTACTTTATGTACACAGGAATAAAAAAACTCGTAACTTCTACAGTTTTGGTTTTTCCATTTTCAAATTTTTACAGCGTACTCCCTTAAAGTTTGAAAACTATTTAGATCGCAAAAAATAAAAATAAAATTACGTTCATTTCCCGATGCCAGTTTATAATTCGTACATTTTCTTAACATTTCAATGCCAAGTCGAAATTTGGCTATTAGTCTCTATGCTACAAAATGCAATATATGTATACCACTTGCATGTCAGTACATATTTTATTTATTTGACAAACAAAATCTATATTCCACAGTTCAATGCGCAAGCAAACATTTTTTCTAAATTTTTTTCGTAACGTAATTCGCCACGTTTTAAGGTGCGCGTAATAGTTTAACAATCATTCGATTTTTTTGCATTCGCGTATATTTAAAGTATACTGTTTTCTTGCACTACTACATGTTTACTACATACATGCATATGTGTGTATGTAAATAACTATAAATTTATGCATGTATGTATTTATTTATTTTTACTACTCTGGTAGGAGATTCGATTGTGAGTTTCTTTTTTGCAGCTGATTTTTATATGTATGTATGTATGTATGTATGTATTGTTCATTATTGTTATTTATTTATGCATGTAAATATTTACTTGTAAGCTATGTGTATGTGTGTATGTATAATTTATATTTAAAATATATATGTACGTGAATTTATGTAGAATTTAAAAATAAAGTTCGTTCGCTAGGTCCTGCTCGCACTTTATAAGTAAAGCGTTTGTGGTGGCAATTAAAAAAATAGTAAAAAATAATTTACAATAGGCACCTCAACTATTACAATAATTTACGCTTTATTTATGTTTATCTGTGTATGTATCTATGTATGTTGTATATGTATATTTTGTAAAAAAAAAATGCATACTTAAAAAATATGGCTGACTTCCTTTTTTTTAAAAAAAGGAAGCATCTAAGTCTCCATGCAGCCGAGTGTCAAGCATATGCGTGTCAACCAAAACGGCATTTATCCGTATACATGTACTTGGAAAGCGCTCACGAAGCACCCATCCTTCGACGACGCATTTGCCTTCAGTTCGTTCGATCTCTGCTCGATTTAATATTCATTCTTAATTTTTTCTTCATATTTTACACGCGTTCTTTCGTCACTCGTACGAACTTATAATCGATTCTTATCGGTTTGCATTTTTTTTTTGTTTTTTATCTTTTGTACAGACTACAAACTAGTAAAAATATTCATTTGTATATTTATATATAGTTTTGTAGGATACTATAACTGTTTACATAACACAACATTTACGCTGACGCTTTCGGAACGTCCGTGCACAGCAGCTTCACCGCAACAATCTACCACTGCCACCTGTGCTTATTGTCAAATATAAATCGCCTCTGAACCTTTGTTGGCCTGATGACCACCGGACATGTACAGATTATTGGCCGCCGGCGATTGTACACCTTCGGACCAGTCTGATGTGGAACGTGGCGACGAGCTCGACCAGTGACCGGGCGATTCGGGTGATGGTGTGGGATAGCTATCGAGCGTTTGCACCAGATGTTGGGGTGTATGGCCGCCAGAGTGCTGACTGGTCGGTGTCAGATACTGATAGAAGGCCTGATTGTGTTGGGAGGATGGCGAGAGCATATTGGTGGCGGGCGAGGAACCTGACATTGTACTCTGTATCGAGGGTGGATTCATTTGGCCGGAATGAAAGGAATCTGCAGAGAATGTAAGAGAGAGAAAAAAGGGGAAATGAAATTTAATTATAAAAAAATTAGAAGAGGGTAAATACCATCCTTTTGACTCAAATTAGTTATTTTCCTAATGCAATACTACTCTCCTACAATTTTATAACATCTCAACTCTCTCATCCCCACGCTTATTGACTTACCTGGCGATCCGCAAAATCCATTCAAATCCAAACCGGCCGATGCGAAATCGAGGCTCGCCAGCTGTTGTTGGTGTTGTTGCATTGTTTGCATTATTGCACTGCTTTTCGAATTCTGTTGCTGCTGCTGTTGTTGTTGTTGTTGTTGTTGAGGCAGCTGTTGCTGTTGTTGTTGCTGCTGCTGTTGTTGCTGTTGCTGTTGCTGCTGCTGGGTTTGCTGTGGCGCCATCATCATGCCATCACTACCCGTCGGCGATACAATGCCCACACTCACCGGTGAACTCTGTTGCGACAAACTCTGACTGCTGGGCGATTGAAAACTCATGCTCTGCGGCGAATTCATCGACGCATTACTTTGTGGGCCATTTGTAGAGTTGCTGTTGTTGTTGTTGGCAGCGCCACCCAGCAGCGAGTTCACATTGCTACCAAATTGTTTCTGATGGGTCGCATGGCGCAACGCCTGCATGTGTGTGGGTGAGGTGGGTAGGCTGGGATGTGATTTGACGGGCGATGGTGAACCTGTGGTGAAAAAGTGAGCATACAAATTGATTAAGGAAATTGTGTTTTTTTTCGCGTATCGCTGCGTTTTCTTCCACTCACCCAAATAAGCGTGCGGCGAAAGCGCCATGCTGCTCTGTACGGAATGCGGTGGAGATTGATTGGAATAGGGCGGACTTAGCCCTTGCTCATGACCGGCCATGTTGCCGGGCAGATTGTGGCCGAGATTGCCACCTCCGCCTCCACCGCCGCAAAGCGAATTCATGCTTTGCTGATTGTTGCCTTTCTGGCCGATCATTTCCTGATGAAAGGGCGAACCACGCGAGTAAACGTAATTCTCCATTTTGATTAAATCCATATTATTTTGCTGCTGTTGCTGCACTAGGCTCTGCATTGTTTGCGCATTCTGTGTGTGGAGAAATAGATAAATTGCATTTTCTGCAGTGATTCTAATGGCTTTCGATTTAGTTCTTACCTTTATGCAGTCTTCATAGCTGGGTGGTTGTTTCGCGCCGTTGCTGTTGCCTAACAGATCGTTGTGGTGGTGTGTTGGTGCCGCCATCGCGTTGGAATAGAGTGACGACGTGTCGTACGGGCTCGGCTGACTTGTTAGCCCCGTCAGTGGTGGCGAGTCCACCGCACTGAGACCGGCATCCAACAGCTGCTGCTGGTCCACTCCCTCCAGTCCCTGGCCGTGCGTTGTCAGCCCACCACCCAAGCCATTCAGCAGCTGTGCTGCCGTAAGGCCGTTTTGTCCGCCCTTTTTTGACACCGAGCCCCCTGCCCCCTTTTTTGAACCCGGTTTGCGTCGCAGACTGCCACCGTCGAGCAAATTGTCCGGGCTGCCCTCCAATAGCTTTGCCTTTTTCGCCGCTTTTGATTTCGCAGATTGCGCTGTCTGTTTTGATGATGAAATAACAGTGGGCTGTGAGATAATCTGTGCTTGGCTGCCAGGTGGTGGCGAGCCTATCATGGTCTGTGGCGTCAGCGCCATCATTTGCGGTGAGCGCGGCACATGTTCATCGAGCAGGCGCACGATGTCATGGTGCAAGCGCTCGGAGGCCACATCGCGTGGCAAACGGTCCATGTGATCGGTGATTTCGCGATTGGCAAAGTTGTCGAGCAGCGCTTTGCACGCTTCATAGGAGCCCTCGCGCGCTGCTAGAAATAGTGGTGTCTCATCCTTGTCGTCCTGGGCGTCACGATTGGCATGATGCATGAGTAGTATATTCACGGCTTCGGTATTATTAACAGCGGCTGCCCAATGGAGCGCGGTCTTACCCGAGTTGTCAGCAGCATTGATATCAGCATCGGCAGTTATTAGATCTTCAACCATTCCTTCAATGGCTAGGCGTGCGGCGAGTATGAGCGGTGTGGTGCCATCATGCATACGCGCATTCAAATTGGTAGCGCGGTTGCGCAGCAGTATCTGAAAAACGCCCATTGCATCGGCGGCCACAGCGGCATGCAGTGGTGTACGACCGGTGTTATCTTGACAGTTGGCGTCGGCACCAGCGTCCAGTAAACGTTTGGCAGCATCAGCGCGCGCATAACGCGCTGCCAGGTGCAGTGAAGTTTCGCCAGTTTTGTCCATGGTGGCGTTAAGTTCAGCACCTTGCGCCAACAAATCCGAAATCACCTGTGCCGTTTGATCCTCAGTATTTTCAATGTCTTCGCCAGTATCCATGCCTCCACCGCGAACAGCCGCTACCATGAGTGGCGTCATGCCGCACGGTCCGCGCACATCCACATCGTGTTTCCCATCCTGGTGCGCAGGCGGCGTCATAATTGACGAACGCACATCGGCTACTTCGAGATGCGCCTGCGACCAAACGCGTGGATCAGCTTCTTCGTAGTCGGTTACCATCGTGTGATCGCTGGCGTACCCGCCGAGTTCGTTGCGCATGCGCTTCTGTGGCGGCAATTCGGACTCATCATCCGACCATTGCGGTGCGTGGCCCATGTGACCGGAGTTCATGTTGACGTCATTGCTCATGCAAGCAATTGAAGGATTCTTGTTTAAATTGCGCATCTCCTGGCCAGTGTCACGTCGCCGTCGCTGATGATTAACCGGTGTAGCGGTGGTGGTACGGAAATTTTCTGGGAACCAAGTGATGCCATGCGCGCGCTTACGTTGCGTAGTCACAAGTACACCGAGGAATGCGAATACCACAATGCTGATGCCGATGAGCACATATTTTACATTGCTGGGACGCTCTTCTACATCTTCGCCGGGGTTTTGTACGCCACGCACGCTGTAGATGTTGAACTTTGGTGAGAGCGTGTATTTGGATGCAGAAGCCGCCAGGAACTCGGCAGCTTCGGCGGCGCGATTGAAACAGTCGATGCACTTCCGATTATCGATTTCCAGGTATATTTGTATGCCCGTTTGATCATTGCGCTCACTGGTTAGTATTCTGTGCTTGCGTCCGAAGTCCGAGTTTTGCAGTTCAGTCAATTGCGAAGTGCCTTTCCAGGTGAAGATCATGTCATTGCCCATGGAGTCCTTCTTGATGCGCACCGTAGTGCGGAGTACATGACCCATTTCACGTAAGAATTCCACCTGCTTTTCGCGGAAAGTTTTGATGTCCATCAGCATCACCACAGATATAGCGCCATCAGCCAAATTCGGTTGCTCGAGTGTATTTTCACAGTCTAAGCCATCCCAGTTGCACTCAGCATTATTACAGCCATAATCACAATGACCATCCGCATAATGTTTCTGACAGTAGGCTTCATAAGTCGGATTACATGGTTGTAGTTTCTTGGCGCAATCACGACCATCGAACAGACAAGCAGCATTGTTGCACTCCTCATTGCACTGGCCATCCATGAACACGCGCCAACACTCTATATTCGCAGTGCAATTCACCCAAGGGTTGATGCCCAATGAGCAGTCGTTGCCGTCAAAGTTGCACGCGTACGTGTTGCAGTCCTGGTCACACCTGTGATTGCCCTTCTTCTGTTCGCAGCCGCGCTTGATACACATTTCGCGTTGGTATTCCAGATCCTTCGTGTATTTATTGAGCGGCCCACGGCTGTTGTCCGATGCCCAGCCGGGGTAGTTGGCATCGTAAATCTCACATCGTTTGCCCGGCCTTTTACTGGGGCAGAAGCAGACATAGTCACCCAGTAGATTTTCGCATGCAGCGCCATGCAAACATGGATTCGAAGCGCATTCGTCCATCGTATCGATTTCACATTGCATGCCTTCGGTGCCAGGCGGACACTCACAGCGGTAGCCGCGCATCATATCCACTACGCAGTTACCCGACTGGCAGGGATTCGAATCACAATCGTTACCGGAGAACTCACAATTCTTGCCGTAGAAACCAACCGGACAAACGCAGTGATGACCAGACTGTTTTGTAGAGCAAAGACCGCCATTTTGACACGGCGAATTAGCGCAGAAGTCTACCTTGATTTCGCAGTGGCGTCCCATGTAGCCGGGCTTGCAGTTGCAATGGTAATTGTTTACCAGTTGCACGCAGTCCAAAGTGCCGGCATTCGAGCAGGGATTAGACAGGCACTCATTGATGTCTCCCTCACAACGTGAACCCACAAAACCTGCTGGACAGGCGCACTCGAAGCCACCCACACGATCGATGCATGTACCGTTGTTGTGACAAGCGCCTGGTACGCAATCCTCCTGGTTGATTTCGCAAATGATGCCCAACGTGCCAGGTGGACATGAGCAGCTGAAGGATTGCACCAAATCGTGGCATGTGCCGCCATTCTGGCACGGGTTCGGCGAGCAATCGTCTATGTTTAATTCGCAGTTCTGCCCCTGGAAGCCCTTCGGGCACATACACTTATATTCGCCCACGCGATCCAAACAAGTGCCGCCATTCTGACAAGGCTGTGACTCACACTCGTTGATGTCCGTCTGACAATAGCTGCCGGTATAGCCCTGCTTGCATTGACACAAATGCATGTTGCCCATCTCCTTGCAGGTGCCGTTGTTGCAGAGTTGTTTGAGACCGACTTGTTTGCGCATCGCAGCCACTTCACAAGAAACCATCTCCACATCGCAAAGCTTGCCTGTCCAACCGGCAGCACACTTACAATTATACTGGTTCTTAATCTGTGAACAAGTGGCGCCATTCTCGCAGGGTGACTGGGAACACCAGTCCACATACTCCGTGCACTGTTTTCCCGTGTAGCCGTGTGGACAGTGACACGTGTACTCATCGCCACTTTCGTGACACGTGGCGCCATTTTGGCAGGGCTGCGAGTCGCACTTATTGATCTTGTACTGACAATTGGAGCCGGTATAAATGGGCAGACAAGAACAGTTGTAGCTGTTGATACCGTCTATGCAAGTACCGCCATTCATGCAGGAACTTTCGGTGCAGTCTTCGTCGTTGGTCTGACAGTTGATGCCCGAGAAGCCAAGCTGACACGTGCATGTATAGGAGTTGACATACTGCCGACAAGTCGCACCATTCTGACAAGGCATGCTAAGGCATTCGTTGATGTCCGTTTCGCAGTGTTTGCCATCGAATCCGTCAACGCAAAGGCATGTATAGTCGCCGATGCCGTCCAAACATGTGCCACCATTCTGACATGGGAACGAAGCGCAATCGTCGGTGTTGATGGCGCAATCACGTCCCTCGTAGCCTTTCGCGCAAAGACATTTGTAGGTGCCGGGTACATTGAGACAGGTCGCACCATTACGGCAAGGCGATGACAGCGCACACTCGTCGATATCTTCGTCACAATAGCGGCCAGTGTAGCCGAGCTTGCAAGAGCAGGAAAAGTCCAGGAAGTTAGGCGAAGGCGTGCATTTAGCGTCATTGCGGCAACGATGTGTTGAACACGGATCCATTTTCGATTCACAGTCTCTGCCCGTAAACGGTACTTTACAAACACACTTATAACCATTTACCAAATCGATGCAGGAGCCACCATTCACACAGGGATTCATAATGCAATCGTCAATGTTCGTTTCGCAGCGATACCCTGTGTAGCCGGGCATGCACTGGCATTGAAAGGAGTTCAGTTGGTCGATGCAAATGCCACCGTGTTGGCAAGGATTCGAACTGCACTCATCGATATCGATCTCGCACCGTTTGCCACCATAGCCGGGTGGGCAGTGACAAATGAACTCGTTGATACCATCCTCACAACGACCACCATTGATGCACGGATTCGAGGCGCACTCATCCACATCACTCAGGCAGCGTGCGTCGTAAAAACCACGAGGACATTCGCATTTATAACCGTTCACCATGTCCATGCAGACGCCGTTGTTGGCGCATGGATTGGAGGCGCACTCATTGATGTTGATCTCGCAATGTAGTCCCGTAAAGCCAGGCACGCATTCGCAAGTGTACTTGTTGATGCCGTCAATGCATGTGGCGCCATTGTTGCACGGGTTGCTGTGACACTCATTCACATTAATTTCACAATTCTTGCCCGAAGTACCGGGTAGACATTTGCAGAGGTAAGAACCGACGCGATCAATGCAGTGGCCACCAAACTGACACGGATTCGACTCACATTCGTTGATTTGCGTCTGGCAGAGGTAGCCGGTGAAACCAGGATCGCAGACACATTTGAATGAGTTGTCACCATCGATGCATTTGCCGCGATGACAGGGATTCGAGTCACAATCGTTGATGTTGATCTCACAGGAGGTTCCCGTATAACCAGGCGGACACTCACACGTATAACCGGCTATAGAGTCGTGACATATGCCATTATTTCGACAAGGCTGCGACTGGCAATCGTCTATATTGATTTGACAACGCGTACCCGCAAACCCAAGCGCACACGAACATTTAAAGCCGTTAATCATATCGTGACAGGTGCCACCGTTCAAGCATGGGTTCGATTGACACTCATCAATATCGATTTCGCACTGTGTGCCAGTAAAGCCGGGCATGCAAACGCAACGAAAGGTGCCTGGGTCATCCAAGCAGCTACCCTCATTCTGACACGGATGCGATTCGCACTCGTTGATATTCGTCTCACAGCGTGGACCCGTGAAGCCTTGTGAGCAATTGCACATAAACGAGCCGGGTGTATTCACACAAATTCCATTGTGCTCGCAAGGTGAACCCTGATCACATTCGTCGATATCTTCGGAACAATCCACGCCTTTGTAGCCAGTTGCACAGGAACAAGTGTAGGAGCCATTTATGGGACTAGTGTCGCAAATAGCGTCCGCATGACAAGGATTCGAGGTGCAAGCATCATCCAAATGACAGAGGAGACCAGTTTTGCCGGGTGTGCAACGACAATAGAACGAGCCGACGCCATCTATGCAAGTGGCGCCATAGAAACAGGCTGCAGCTACGCAATCATCGACATTGTCGCTGCAGTCTCTACCTTCCCAACCGTTGACACAGATGCAGGAATAGTTGCCGTGCGTATTGGTGCAAGTAGCGCCATTCTGACAAACGGATGGTCTGTGGAGAAAATGGGTGTTTTAAGGGGTAAAAGGTGTAATTTAGTATGTCAGAAAGCACAAATATGTTTACAAACCATCCCTAAGTACATAGTTGAAAATATTTGTATTTGCTTTAACTCACCTCATCGCGCATTCATCCACATCTTCCTCACAGAGATCTCCGGTAAAATTCGGTGGACAGACGCAACGGTAGGTGTTGATGCTGTCTACGCAAGTGCCGCCATTCTGACACAAATTTCCAGGGCAGTCATCGATGTTATCTTCGCAATGTTTGCCTTGAAAGCCTGTAATGAGAGAGTGAAATACTTATGATTACATAGTTCGGAACGCAGAAGAAATTTTGGTTACAAAGGTTACATGAAGTATTATTTTTTTTTGGATTAAGCGAGAGAATAGAGTGAATGGGATCGCTATGAAATAAAGATCATTGGTAGCGAGGAAACGGAATTCTTAAAAAGGCTTCCAGATTGTAAAGGGTTTGTCAAAAGCTTATAAGATAAAGGGATCGCCGAAGCCTTCATTTTTGTAAAAGCATTAATGCATGCTCTTGCTTTTACAAGCATTCCGGTGCATCTGAGTATGGGCTTCTGCAAAATTTCATGGCGTGTCATAAATAAACAGGGAAATTCTGACTAAGATAGTAAAAATTCTTTCGTAACATAAATGAAAGCCAGATGCCAAGATGGTTCGAAAGATATTTGTTATTCTAGCACAAAAGTCTCAGAAAAAAGCTCTCCCATTAACCACTCGTGGTGAAAAGCTATTTTGATAGAAAGCACTCGTATATCATTTAACTCGCGTCCTCCAACAGTCGTAATAGCCGAATGAGCAAAGCACATGCGTGCTATTCGAGAGATCCGAGTGCGAGTCCTGGCAAGCGGAATTTTCTTCTTTACTTATTAAAATTTTTTATTTTTTTAATTTAAGTTGCTTTTAATTTTCAGTTTTTTTTTTTGAGGAAAATATATATTTCTTTACTTAATTAAATTTTTAGAAACTTATGTTTACATGAAGGAGAGTGCGCTTCTTCAAACTTTTTCAAAGACGGAGCTAGAACCTAGCAGGTAGCTGCTAAGGACCGGCGAAAGATGGCGTATATTTGGCTCATTCTCCTAGAAGTAGAGGGAAATGAGGTAGTCTCTTGCTGCTGCATTCCCAAGAAACCACGGTCCACGAAGACTACATCCAAGATCCCCTGATGGCCTGTGCAAAAGTAAAAGTCTGGTGGCTGACGAAAATACTCGAAAGGGGTGTTACCGCTGCAGTTTGTATGAAGGAGGTCGATTTGGCTTTTGTATCGACGAAACAAAGGCTATTGATTATTGTAATAATTTTGCATTCCAACCCAAAAAGCGCTTTTTGCCAGCTATAAATACATAACAGTAAAATCCTTAGGCATTCAACCGAAGAGTGCATGCAAATTATCAAATCGACAAAAAAAAGTCCGCCCTGGCAGTTCTCACGCCTTCACAATGGCCACTCACTGTGTGTTTCCCAAAATTTATTGACCCCAATCGATTTGGACTAAACGCACACAAGATAAATACATTAAAAAAAATATTAAATAGGTATGTATGTAGATGTGCATGCTATGAAAAAGTACTAAAAAATTTGTATAACACATAAAAAGGTAAATCATTTCAGTTAGTCAAAGTCAATCATTATTGAAGTTTTGCACACAAAGCGTCATTAAACATTATTAGCCAGCGGGCAGTGAGTGCAACAAAAAGTTGGTTAAAAATTAAACAAAAAAAAAACAAGAAAAATTTTGAACAAAGCAACGGTAATAAGAAAGGAATTGGTGCAGTCAAAAAATAACTGCAGACGAAAATGAAAAAAAAACCAACCGCCATAAATAATGCACGCAAAAATCCTGTTTTTACTGCCCAAAAGCATTTGCTGCGCTACATTGCATGACGTCCCCCTCCCTGCGCCTGGCTGCATAGCTTGTTAGCCAAATTTGAAGCATTACTCATGCTTATGCAAATTAATGCCAAAGTCCACGCAGTTGTTGTTTTTATTTTTTTCTTTACTGCTGCAATAGAGCTAGTAAAATTGCAAACCAGTAAAGCGCAATAGACACCCGCGATCCCCTTCATCACCACAGCGCCGGCAACCAACATGCCAAAGCACTAAACGAATGTTACAACGCGATTGCATTGGATATGGGCCAAAAATGCATACCAAGATGTGACTTGGGAGAAAATTGTGGTCAAAATGCAGCAACTCCTTAGGCACACGGGCACATATATATGTATGTATACATACAAATGAGTGTTAAGAGCTTAAATATGTCGCTGATCGCAAATTGATTTTGTTGGGCTACAAAACCTAAGTATTTATGTAGTAGATTGGCATTTTATAGATGCAAGCGAGTGGCTAAAATTTTTAAGCTCTCTACTGAATCATCGGTATGCTAGGAAAGCTGGTACTCGTGGTTTTGTATACCCATCTACTTTTGTACATTAGGGCGCATCACTGTTCATACAAAAAAATAAAATAAATAAAAAATCGGTACTGTTTCACATTGAAATTATAAAATTTGTTATATTTTAACACTTCCGCCAAAATGTTTCGAAAAAATATTAAGATTTAGTGAGCTGGACCGATTTGAAAAAACCTAAAAAAAATGATATAAATAAAATCAGTTTTTTTTAAATACATTTTACGAAAAATCACGTTTGCTTGTTGATAGGAAGCCTAAGTGTAAGTATTTTCCCGAAATATTTCGGCGGAATTCGAAAATATAATAAAAAAAAATACAACTTTTTTCGGTGAGGCACCCTAATGTAAATACATAACTAAGTACACATATTCATGCGCATATTGGCTGCATTGAACTACATTCTTGAGCTGGGTTTGGTGCTGTCAGACGCAAGGCACATGAAAAGCACACCGATGGACGCGGTGAAAAGCGAAACGAAAACAGCAGATAAATAAATTAAATCTTCCACGGACACCTTGCCTCCATCGCCTCTGAGCACCAAGTTTGTGCCAAGACTTCGCGATGCTGTTGTAGCAGCTCACGCATAAATCTCGAAAAGTGCAGCTGTGTTACACATGTCTGTCGTGAAGAACACTGTGCGGGCTAAGGCAAACACACACACGCACAAGCCAAACACAACACTGATCTTGGTTTGGCAGTACAAGTACGAAGGCAAACGAATGAAAACAAATAAAGACTAGCAGCAGTTGATAATAGAATAAGTAGATAAAAGACCTGGGGTAGCATAAGCAAAAAACGTACCTAAAAGTAATAAAGACAAAGGTAAACCTCTGCTAAGGTTAAAAGGAAATATAGGCAAAAGTAAATACATAAGAAACTGGCCAGTTGCGTGGACAGCGGTAGAGCACCAAAACTATGCGCATACGAATGTATGTATGAAGAGCAGCGCACAGCGCTCGCCAGCATAATTCCCGAAACGGAGCCATGTAGACAGGTATGCATATGCTATTGTTGTTAAGACCGGCTTTTGTGGAGCTGAGCGCTTCCAAGACAAGTGACAAGAGAGCCACAAAACAAATGCTTGCTCAAAAATCACTGCAAGATCGAAGGGAAATTCGAGACTCGTTGCTCCGTGAGCGATCAGAAGCAGAACGTAAGCCACGCTCAAGAGATGTAAGGCGCTGTGTCGCATACTCTCCAACTGACAAGCTCTCTAAAAACGCTAACACAGCATAAAAGGTATGAAACAAAAATAAACGAAAAGATAAATAATAAAAAAACCAAACGAGTCACAGACGATAAACGAAAAAAAGCTAAGCGGGTATGAGAAAATCTAAAAGTAAAGCGAAGCAATAAGAAAGAGAAACACAATCAAAGCCAGGCTTACAAAAAAAAAAGTTTACAATACAGGGCAGAGGCACGCAATGTGAAAACGAAAATGCGTTAAAACGCACAGCAAAAACATAAACAAACCGAAAAAGAAAACGAGACAAAAGAAAACAATCAAAAATGTATATAAAAATAAGTGAAGAAAAAAGTAACAAACTAAAAACTAAAAGTCGGTGGCAGCAACAGCAGCATGTGACGAGCTATACAACACGATTGTGGTAACTACGCCCGATGTTGGAGCCGAGCGGTAAACGAACTACTTTGGATGTTCTTTCCCACGGTCTCATATCTTGCATGCTTTGTATGCTTGCTTGCTTGCTTGGTTGGTTCATTGCTTTGCCTGGCTTGTCTCTACTGCTGCTGCTCTACCTCACTTCAATACACTTTTCACTATCGTGGGTCTGTATATGTATGTATGTATGTGTAGGTTTGTATGCATGTATGAAAATATTTATGAACAAGTATATGTATGTAACCTAGTGCTGTTCCTTAGTAGGGTAGATTATGAACCGATTTCATCGGTTCACTGTGAATAGTTGGTCTACGTCGTGAATCGAAACCTTTGGAACCTGCAGTCGAGGTGTTTAATGATCGTTCTTTTGTGAAAACTCAAGATCTTCCTATGTTTTAAAACATCCCGACCAGAAGGGAAATTGCATTCCATGCTGGCTTTGCTCAGTTTTTCTATAGACCTAGCGTGAATTTTTACATCATTTTGAACGCCAAATTCAAGTTAAATTTATTAGAGCTAATATTTATTTGTGTAAGTTACGAACTTGTCTGAGGAATGCTATCTAGTGCCTGAATGAATACCGTTGCAAGGCTGTCGAATCATTGCATATAGAATTTCCAGAGGGACAGCGTGCAAATATGTATAGTATGTGACAGAAAGGAATATTAAAATATGATAAAAGATTTAATAAAACTATGCATACGCAAGTATGTTGCAACCCACCCAACTACATTCAAGAATAACTTGAACTTATCTCTAAGCTGCATAAATCTTCATTCTTCGATTGAAATCCACTTGAGAATCATAGCATTCCTAATAGGGAGTTTCCATGACGCCCAAATTGCACAATTTCAAAACAATTCTAATTTTCAGCGGAAATTTCGTTACGATTCTCAATTTGGCCAAATAAAAGCATGTCAACTGAAATTGCATAACTTCGCAAACACAACCCTGAAAATTTGGTTATTGTGAATGATAAATGAGTAAAAGTAGAAAAAAATGAACGTCGATAAAAACCAGAGACCCAAAGTAACCGTTAAATATCAATATTTCTATTTTAAGATCATTGCAAAATTTTTGTTTTTTATTTTTTCGTTCAATGGCCATATTTAAATATAAATTTTTTCGGTCAAATTCAATCTAAATTTTTTTTTCAGTAAAAAATAACCGCTATTTTGGGTTTCTTCGATTATTTAAAAAAATTAAATCTCAAAATA